GGGCCGCGCGGTCGGAAGATGCCAGAACGTTCCCGGGAAATTTTAGGCATCAGATTTGAGGAAGATCCATGGGTGTAATGTTAACTAACAAAGGAGATCACCTCTCAGTCTTCAGCTCTTTCCTCCCATCTCTGTTTTGGACAGTGACCCCCCTGACCCAACGATTTCTGGACTCAACCTCCCCTCCCAACCAGCCCCAGCCCCTCCCCACACTGCACACCTGTGACACAGGTGTCCCTCATTCATTACATGTCTCCTAACCAGATGCCCAGAAAACATTTTAGACCTCGGTCCCCACCCCGCTACTTCCTTTCGCCTCAGTTCTGGCAGGACTCCCAGCCCTTCTTTCCAGTCACATCCTGTTTGCAGTTCCCCCAGAACCAGGCTCCGCTTCCCTCTGGGGTTCTTTCCCTCCATTGGCAAATCCTCCTCCAGATCAAGCCTCAGGCCCTATGGCCTTTCCCCCAGGGCCTCTCTGTACATGGAACTTCCCTTTATAGGCCCCTCCCCCCCATACTTCTTTGTACTTGTCTCCTCCCACTAGGCCATGTGCTTAGGCATAGTGGTCTTTGTGCCCCAAGGTCTGGCCTAGTACTGGGTATGTAATAGGTGCTCAGTGAATGCCTGCAGGTGAGCAGCCTGAAGGCGGAGATGGCATCTTGTCTACCTTTGTATATTATATCTAGTACTAGAGGCCTGGTACACAAAAATTTGTGCACTTGGGGGGAAGTGGGGGGAGCCCTCAGCCAGGCCTACTCCCTTTTGCAGTCTGGGACCCCTCGGAGGATGTCCACTTGCCAGCGGGGAGCAGGCCTAAGCTGCAGTCGGACATCCTTAGCGCTGCTGAGGAGGCGGGAGAGGCTCCCACCGCCACCGCTATACTGGCAGCCGTCAGCCTGGCTTGTGGCTGAGCAGAGCTCCCCCTGTGGGAGCGCAGTGACCACCAGGGGGCAGCTCCTGCATTGAGCGTCTGCCCCCTGGTGGTCAGTGTGTGTCATAGTGACCAGTCATTCCCAGTCGTTCTGCTGTTAGGGTCAGTTTGCATATTACCCTTCTATTATATAGGATAGAGGCCTGGTGTATGGGTGAGGGCTGGCTGGTTTGCCCTGAAGGGTGTCCCGGATCAGGGTGGGGGTCCCGCTGGGGTGCCTGGCCAGCCTGGGTGAGGGGCTGATGGCTGTTTTCAGGCTGGCCATACCCCCTTTAGGGTTGGGGGATCCCCACTGGGGTGCCTGGCCAGTCTGGGTGAGGGGCTGAGGGCTGTTTTCAGGCTGGCCAAGCCCCCCAGCAACGGAAGCGCCAGCCTCTCCTTTTTTTCTTTTTATTCTGGGATTTACCTTCTACAATTGAAACTCTGTATCCTTCAGAGGAGCTCAGAGCCGGCCAGGGCGGGCAGGAGGGAAGCCTCCTGCTTGCTCCAGCTCTGTGGCCACAGCCAGCTAAAAGCAGGTATCTGGGGTTTACTTATCTTCTATAATTGAAACTTTGTTGCTTTGAGTGGAGCTCAGAGCCGGGCAGTGGCAGGAAGCTTGGCTTCCTCCATCATTGGGCAACCAAGCCTCCTGCTTGCTCCAGCTCCGTGGCTGCCGGCCACCATCTTGCCTGGGTTAATTTGCATATAGTCACTCTGATTGGCCGGTGGGTGTGGCTTAAGGCATAGTGAAGGTATGGTCAATTTGCATGTTTGTATTTTATTAGTGTAGATAATGGCTAGCAATTAATTGGCACTTAAATGCTTAATGAATTAGAACCAACATCGGTAAGAGGAAACTGAAGAGATTATAAAACAAAACCTGACTGCTTTAAATGACTGAAGCTGCTCTGACAAATTACATCAACTGCTATATTAATCATGGTGCTGAGACAGCAGACTTGCCTTTAAGGAACCATGAAGAGGAAGGCAATGACTTATTGAGTACTTACTACATGCGGGGTATTGTGCTAAGTGTTTTACATGCGTAATTTCAGATGTGCTAGAACAGCGGTTCTCAACCTGTGGGTCGCGACCCCTTTGGCAGTCAAACGACCCTTTCACAGGGGTCACCTAGGACCATCCTGCATATCCGATATTTACATTACGATTCATAACAGTAGCAACATTACAGTTATGAAGTAGCAACGAAAATAATTTTTTAAAAAAATATAATTCTTTATTGGTTTCAGAGAGGAAGGGAGAAGGAGAGATAGAAACATCAATGATGAGAGAGAATCATTGATTGGCTGCCTTCTGCACACCCCCACTGGGGATTGAGCCCGCAACCCAGGCATGTGCCCTTGGCTGGAATCGAACCTGGGACCCTTCAGTCCGCAGGCCGACGCTCTATCCACTGAGCCAAGCTGGCTAGGGCCGAAAATAATTTTATGGCTGGGTCACAACATGAGGAACTGTATTTAAAGGGCCAGAAGGTTGAGAACCACTGTGCTAGAAGTTTGGGGCTGGCAAATGTGACTTCTATCCATAGATAATAGAGTGTTTACTTGGGCCAATCCACCTGCTAGCCCTGAAAATAGACTTTTCCCCTACTTGGTGGCAGTCTTTCATATTATACTCCCTACATTGTGTGTGTGTGTTTAAGATTACAGTGTAACAAAGAACAGGCATAGCTTTTTTTTCTTTTTACTTTTTTTCTTTTTAGGAAAGGAGAGGGAGAGGGATAGAAACATCAATGATGAGAATCATTGATTGGCTGCCTCCTGCATGCTCCCTACTGGGGTTTGACACCACAGCCTGAGCATGTACCCTGACTGGGAATTGAACCGTGATCTCCTGGTTCATGGGTCGACACTCAACCACTGAGTGACACCAGCCGGGAAACAGGTATAGCTTTTTGAAAATGTAATGGACTGCTTAGGAAGAAGTTTCTTCACTGCCAGGAATGTTCAAACACAGGCTGGGCTGATTTCTGGGTGGGATCTAAGTTTCTTTTTCCTGCCAAGGAGGAGAGAATGTAGTGATGGTTCAAAGACAGGATCAGCAAGCTGGTGTATTCTAGGAGGCAGAGATAGAGGGTTTCAGTTCAAGAATCCGTAGTTTATCCCACTGCGAAGAATGCATCCAGGCAGCTCCTATATTTCTCCTTCCAACCCCTCAGGTCTTTGAGGAAGACTCTTCTTCAGGGTCACTGCCTCTTCGTGTTGCTCTCTATGTACGACTCCAGCAAGAAGATAGTTTCATCCACCTGGATCTCGCTGGCGTCCAGCCTGAGTGAAAAGTGAGAGCATTTGCCCAGACTGAACACTTACTAGCATAGTGATAGGCTGGGTGCGGTGTGGCCATGCAGAATTGCTTGGTTACCCTTGAGATTAATGGGTAGAAAGCAGGAAACCAATAGATCATTCTCCCATTTACTGAGCATCTCTTAAATGCCAGGCACTGTGGAACTTGCTGAGGATTCAAAAGATACAGCCTCTCCTGGGAGAAGTTAAAGTCTAACTTATAACCAGGAGAAAGAATAGCACATGTAAAGGCATAGAAGGTTCCAGTGTGTTTTAAAATAGAAGCTGAAAGTGGCTGCGGCTAAACTGAGTAGTGATTAGGCATGGAAGGGAACTTCCTCAACATGATTGAAGCCATCTATGAAAACCCCACGGCTAACATCATCCTTAATGGTGCAAGACTGAAAGCTTTCTCCTTAAGATCGGGAACAAGACAAGGATGTCTGCTTTTCACTTCCACTCAACCTTTTACTGGAGGTTCTAGCCAGGCAATTAGGTAAGAAAAAGAAATACAAGGCATTCAGATTGGCATGATCCTAAACATAGAAAAATCTCAAAGGATCTGCAAAAAAACTAAAGAGTCAACAAACAAAACTTTAAAAGTTGCAGGATATAAAATCAAAACACAAAAGTTAGTTTTAGCACTGGCTGGTGTAGCTCAGTTGGAGCATCATCTCATATACCAGAGGTGGCAGGTTTGAGTCCTGGTCAGGGTGCATGTGGGAGGCAACCAGTTGCTATGTCTCTCTCATCTTGGGGACCAAGACGGAAGGCCAGATTTGAAACACATGAACTGAAGTAAAATCAACAACTTTGGTGAACAAGGTGTGTGGTGAGGGAGGAGAAGCTGAGGATGTCTTCAGAGTTCAGTGTGGGGAAACAGGTGGATTAAATTCTGTTAGGTGAGTTCAGGGTTGTTTGTGTCAACGTGGAGAGGTGGGTAGCCTGGAAGGTATTTGAAACGGAGGCTTGACGTGTAGGATGCTTACTTGTTGACGTTCCGTTTGAGAGTCTCTATCTGCTGGCGTTCAGGGGCTGTGATCATCTCCTCTATTTCCTGTAGCTGGGCCTCCTCCGCACCTGTAGCCTGCATGGAGGCGATGATGGCTTCCACCCTCTGAGACTTTTCTAGGAGCCGCCTGTCAAATAAACACAACTCCAAACTGGTCCCCTAGATGTGGAGATTTTTACCCATTAGCCCTGGGGTATAATACGCTCTTTACCAGGTTCCTGGTCAAAATGGATAATGTCACCTTTTAAGGATGTTTTCTACAAACTTAGAAATGTGACTTCACTCCCGGAACTCTTATTGCCTCTCATTTGCACTTTATGTTTGGTGCCAGTTTGTACATTTCTCATGAATATAATCTACAAAATTATTTCACTGGGAGTATATTAGAAGAGTGTAGACTAATGCATGATTTATGCCAACCTAACCCAACAATTCAATGCAACCAGACTGGTTACTATCTCTATTGGTTTCCATTTCTATAGGAAATTTCCCCTCAAGCCTTCATGGACCTTTCAGTCCGCAGGCCGATGCTCTATCCACTGAGCCAAACCGGTTTCGGCTGGTTTCCATTTCTATAGGAAATTTCCCCTCAAGCCTTTGACCTTGAAAAAATGCAATTACTAAACTAAATTGCTACTCACTTGTTCTCCTTGGTTTCAAATTGCCTCCTTTCTATCAAGTTGGCTATGCTCTGAGGAGAGAGAAGACAAAAAACGCACACAGTTCTATTTCAGTAGCTCAGGTAAAAAGGATAAAGGGGGCGTGAGGTAAGACTGGTCTCTGTGGAGGGAATGGAAGAAGGTCCAGGAGTTACCTTGTAGCACCTGTGCAGCAGCATGCGGGCAGCTGACAGGATGTTCACAGTGTACAAATAGAAGGTCCTGGAAGGGGCGTGGTCTGGCGTTTTGGGAATTTCCTACTTGTCCACAGAAGGAAAAATGAGAGGAATTATACTGTTCAGAGCTGCAAAGTAAACGTGTCCCGTCTGAAGCCACTCTCCCTTCTCTCTTTCACTTACACTTTCCCCTTCCCCAGTCATTCACATCTGTGGTTACGGCATGCTCAGCCTCAAGGAGAATTGAGCTGCCCTGTTTTTTCCATTTGAACATCCTGAGTGGAGCTGAGAAGGCAACTAACATTTGTTGAGCAACTCTTGTGTGCCAGGTAGACTGTGTTTGATCTTTACTATCAACCGCATTATTTTCGTACCATCCACCACCATTTTATAGATGGGAAAAATTATGGTGGGTAATTTGCTTAACGTAACTAGGTAAGAGGAAGAGCTGTGATTCAGATTCCAAAATCCAGTCTATTTCCTTACAGGGTCTACTGCCTGGCTTTGCACATAGTGGAACTCACTAGGTGTTGATAAATGTATTCTATAATAAAAGTAAAGTTCAGCCGAAACCGGTTTGGCTCAGTGGATAGAGCGTCGGCCTGCGGACTGAGGGGTCCCAGGTTCGATTCCGGTCAAGGGCATGTACCTGGGTTGCGGGCACATCCCCAGTGGGAGATGTGCAGGAGGCAGCTGATCGATGTTTCTCTCTCATCGATGTTTCTAACTCTCTATCTCTCTCCCTTCCCCTCTGTAAAAAATCAAAAAAATATTAAAAAAAAAAAAGATAGCGTCTTAAAAAAAAAAAAAAAGTAAAGTTCAAGGAAAGGACAAATCACAGGGATGAGGCACTAAAGAAAAAGGGAGGAGTGACTTCTTGCTGTGCCTTTTTTTTTTTTTACTAGACCAGTTAAAGCTCCACAAATACCTTTCCAATGCTGGCTATGCCTTCATTAACCTTTTCTTTCTTCCTGTCTCAGAGCTGGATAAGAGTTTGCTTGGGGCTCAGGATGCAGGCCTCAGGAGTTTCTCTCACGCTCGGCCAGCTCTGTTGTTGATGACTATTACCCATTGCTTACCTGAAGCAACATGAAATTTTCTGAGAGCATCTTATAAAGCATATCCTTCGCCTCCTTTGCTGGAATCATTGCAAAGTCTTCTACCTGCTTCTGCTCCAGGTGTTTCTTTTGCAAAACTAGACGAAATATTCTGGCACAGCGAGACCCAAATCTGGAAAGGAATGAAGACAGTAAACAGCAGGCTTATCTCCTAGTCACACACGGTGGTGGCTGTTCCCATGTGTGGAGCCAGGACCAGCGAGGGACAGCAATCAGCGAACTCTTTCACAGCTCCACAGACGGACTGAGGACGGTGCTGCTAACCACAAGGCAGTCACTGACTGCTGACACACCAGAGGGCCTCACTTCCCGCCCTGGTAAGTGAAAGCTTTAGGGAGGCTGGTCCAATGGCACTGGGAATTCAGCAGGAGGATATTTAGGATAAAGAGCAGTAGTAGATGGGATCCACAGCAATCAGTGGAAAAATGGGGCAGGTAGCCCTAGCCGATTTGGCTCAGTGGATAGAGCGTCGGCCTCGGACTGAAAGGTCCCAGGTTCGATTCTGGCCAAGGGCACATGCCTGGGTTGCAGGCTCGATTCCCAGTGGGGGGTGTGCGGGAGGTGGCCAATCGGTGATTCTCTCTCATCATTGATGTTTCTATCTCTATCCCTCTCCCTTCCTCTCTGAAATCAATAAAAAAATAAAAATGGGGCAGGTATGCCTATGTTGGTTGCTTACATAATGATCAAATTACTTGTTTAAATCGGGCATGGAAAGGAAGTGTCTGACCCCCCACCCCTATCATGGTGACCCCCTTACCTCTCCTGTACAACCGACTCCAGAGTGGCTGTGGCTAGGGATCCGAGAACCTTATGTAGGTCTTTATGTAGGATTAAGGTCACTCAATCATGCTTTGGCCTGGTCATTGTGATATTAGTTTAATTCCTAAGTCTCTAATTTAAAATTTAAATGTTATTTGTTTTTTACATTGATCACATTTAGGATAAATAAGTATTTCAAAACTTTAAGTATGGTGTTTAAGTCAGGATTTAGCTTAACTAAAATTTGGTTAATTAAAAGTCCTTTTTGCCTTGGATGGTGTTCTCAGTGGTTAGAGCATCAGTCCACACACCAAAGGGTCACAGGTTCAATTCTGACAAGGGCATGTATCTGGGTTGCAGGTTTATCCCTGGCCCCAGTTGGGGCATATGTGGGAGTCAACCAATTGATGTGTCTTTCTCATATCGATGTATCTCTCTCTCTTTCTCTCTCTCCGCCTCTCTCCCTTCCACTCTCTCTAAAAACAATCAATGGGGAAAATATCCTTGGGTGATGATTAACAAAAACAAACAAAAAGTCCTTTTTACTTCTTTATCATCAATGTATTAGTTAAATTTTCTCTTATTTAGTATACTAAATTTTATCGCATCTTTTGTCATAAGTCGCCACTGTCATAGTCCGGCTGCCGGACTGTACAGAAATAACTGGTAAGGATACTGATGACATACATTCCTCCACCACTGTCGCCAGACTTTCCAACAAACTCTAGCTGTTAAAAAAAAAAAAGAGAGAGAGACTGTTAACTGACTGGACAATCCAGTGATTCTGTTTCCAAAGGAGCAAATCTAGCCAAGAGTCTATAGAAGGCAAGCCTCCTATTAGATGATGGTAGAGAAATTGTCTGAGTTGGTTAGATAGAGAATGAGGCTATAGGAGAATGATACCAGGTATCATTGGCAGAAATAAATCATAAACATAGCAGAAAAAAGAAACATTAAAAAATCAGACTTACTGGATCATCTGCCAGCAGAGTGAGATACTGATCAAGAACTTGCTTAGAGATGTTGTAGCCAGTAGGTAGGGATCTGAAGATCTATGGTGCAAAAGGAGACAGTGAAAATGGGTTTGGGAACTTAGAATTGCTGACATTACTAAAGTAAATATGTTTTAATTTTAGATATCACAGTATAAAAATGTCCAAAAATATAGCAGCAATGTTTGTAAGAGTAAAAATCTAGAAATAATCCAAATGTCCAATAATAAGGGATTGATTAAAATAAAGTACAGCATAGCCATTATAAAAAATAAGACAGATCTATAACTGACATGAAAAGGTTTATATTATATTGGCATATGAAAAATGCAAGTTTATAACATGTACACATACCTATATATATGTTGGATGATACATAAAAATAATTTGAATAAAGATACATACCAAACTATTAACAAGGATGCTTGGGATTGGGATTATGCAAAACTATAATAGTTTGGGGAACTACAACTTTTTAAAAATTATACATTTCTATTCTGTTTGAATATAGGTCATGTAATTACTTTGTCATTAGAAAAAAACATTTAATTTTTTAAAAGAATATTTTTATTGATTCCAGATAGGAAGGGAGAGGAGAGAGAGATAGAAACATCAATGATGAGAGAGAATCATCCATCAGCTGCCTCCTGCACAACTTCTACTAGGGATCGAGCCCAAAACCTGGGAATGTGCACTGACTGGGAATCAAACCGTGACCTCCTGGTTCATGGGTTGATGCTCAACCACTGAGCTACAATAGCTGGACATGTATTTAATTTTTTGTTATATAAGTTAAAAAATTTAAATATAAATAAAAGTTTAGTAAGTATTTTTTTGTATGAATAAATATAATTAGGAAAGGAATAGAATATAAATAAACATATTGGATATTTTAAATATTAATATTTTAAGAAACAGATATAAATAAGTTTAAAATATACAAAATATATTGAAAAAAAACAAATAAGGGGCTATATAATGTCCTGAGCACCAAGGCTCTCAGATTGCAATAGTGCATTCTTAGAATAGGAATAGCTTGTACTTTGACTAAGAGAATAGTTTAGATTTTTAAAGGCTTGATCCAAAGAGACCGAATATTTTAATACCTATCACCTGAAGATAATTCCTGTCCCACCTCAAACAACAAAGACTCTTTCAAGGCTCAAACCTCATCAACCTAATTCCAGGCTGTATGTATAATAATCTATAATAATCAAAGCGTAATATGCTAATTAGACCAGACGTCCTTCCGGACGGCAGTTGGGGGAAGGCAGGCCTACTCTTGCACGATTTTCGTGCATCGGGCCTCTAGTTATGTTATAGTATCCAAGAGCCTGTCAGAAAAGTAGTATAACATGAAACTCACCTCATTGGAAGACAATGGCTGGGTGAAGGGGGCACTAGAGGGAGTGGTAATCTCACTCATTCGAAGCATGGTTCTTACGATCTCGCTGCTGGTCTGGAATTGAAAAGTGAACTGGAATTCAGAATTCATTCTGCTGTGCTGGCTCTGGCTAAATGTCAATGGCCACATCTGGCAAATAAGATTGTCCCTGATGGCCACTGTCCCACCCCCTCAGATATCACCTGGTCCATCCTGTTTGCCACTGCGCTGACAATGGCTTGGTCTCGGAAGTGCTGGTGGAATCTGTCAAGGTTGGCCTGCCAATAAATGCCATCATCTGGAATGGGCTGAGGAGGAGAAAAGGATTAGCAAGAAGCATCTACATGCAGTGAAGAGTTTTCTGGTGAGGAGCTTAAATGGAACTGGCCATCACTTCTTTTCCTTTACAGTAGCAACAAATTGGTTGCTGAGAAATCATCCAGTCATGTGGACCAGTGCCTTAATAAATTCACAGTCTCACTTCAAACAGATTCTCAACCAACCTCCAATCTTTTTCTCTCTGTACATTTTAACTCCTCTCCAGTCTCCTCAAATCTCACTTACCCCACCCTTATCACTCTCAGCAGATGACCTTGCCTCTTATTTTGAGAAAACAAAAGCCATTAGGCCAGAACTCATCCAACTTTGTGCACACACCCCCACATTTATTTTTTAAAAAAATTCCACTTATATCACAGTGGAAAACATGTTCCCCCCTTTTACCCAAGCTTAATGCCCACACTGAATGTGAGATCTTACCCTCCCTGCATTCTCAGGGATCCAGCTCAGTTTAACCTCCTAAATCTTCAGCCTCTTTCTTTACTGTCTTTTCCCCATCAACCTTCACCTTGTCCAAATCTCATCTACTCTAAAGTAACTCTTCTTCAACACTATGACTTTTCTCCTTTTTATTTTTGTTAGTCAAGGTTCTCAAAGATTTGACCATCCCAGCTGTATCTCTGTCCACAGAGGTACTCAACCCATCTCCACCACTGCACTGAAATGCCAAGGCCCCTGAGGACCTCCTTGTTGCTAAATTCAAAGAATACTTTCCAATTCTGATCTTCTTTGTTCTTTCTGAAGCATATGACAAGGTGGGACTTTTTTCCTTCTTAATTTTATGTGACCCCCTTGGATTTTATGACACTATTTTTTAAAAAAATAATTTATTTTTATTGATTTCAGAGAGAAAGGGAGAGGGAGAGAGAGACAGAAACATCAATGATGAGAGAGAATCATCGATCAGCTGCCTCTTCCATGCCCCCCCACTACCTGGGCATGTGCCCTGACCTATTAAAAAAAGGTAACTACATGAAGATCTGTGGGAAAAGCATTTGAAGCAGAAGGAATACTAAAGGCAAAAGCCTGAAGATTGAAAGAGTTTGACATTTTGAGGAGTGGGAAGAAAGAAGCTGGAACACAGTGAACACGAGGAAGAGTGGAAAGAGCTGAGGGTGGACAGCCCGGTCTCTAGCAGGTCTTGTAACCACCCTGCTCATATAAGGCTTAATAACCCATAGTCAAGACTTGGATTTCTTCTAAGAGTAACGGGAAGCTATTAAAGGAGTCTAAATCAGTGTTATGTTGGGATTAAAAAAAACTTAGAAAGTTAAATAGGTAAGAATGCAGGTAGAGTGACCATTTAGGAGAGTGCTGGCAAAGCGTTGACTCGAGATGTAATGGTTTGGACTAGGATGATAGCACTTGGAAATGGTGAGAAACAGCTGGAGTTTAGGTAATTTTGGAAATTGGGCTGACATTTTTTACTGGGAGATCAGACGGTTCCTAGGATTTTGGCCTAAGCAAGTGGTGGTGACCTAGAGGTGGCTGGCCAGGTCCTTTACTACGATGAGGAAAACTGAGAGAACAGATATTTGGGTGGGAGAAAACAATTATTGCGTTTTGGCCATACTAAATTTGAGATACTCATTAGACATCTTTATAGAGATGCTGAGAAGGCATTTGAAGATAAAAGCTCAGGCTTACAAATACCTTTCTAGACTCATTTCTCACCACTGGTTCCCATGGATCGCTGTGTTCCAGCTATACTGAATAACCACCTTTTTCTAGGTCCTTTTTTTGCATAAGCTGTTACCTCTGTCCAATGAATGAAGTAAAAGCCTCAGAAGGGAATTCACTCTTTGTTATTCTCTTGCTGACCAATATTTAATGCAGCTCTAATCCTACTAGTTAACCCAGGAACCTTTAAAGTCTCTTGGGGCTTATCTTAGTGCTCTCTCTGGCCTGCCTCAGGGTGAGGACTCCTGGTCACAAAGCCCCATTACCTCTTTATTATCTGTGCTATGTTTTAGTCTCTTGGCCTTGGGCTCCCCAGTGGCATCATCCTCAGACGATCTCCTCCTTTTACCTTTCCCTGCCAAGTAAAAACAGTTAGAACAGTTAGGCTACATCTCATGACAGGACATGAGCAAACACGAGAGCAGGTGTCTCCCTATCCCTGGTTTGTCTGTAGCTGCCGCTAGGTTAGAGTTGCTCAGAAGATGGAGCAGCTACAAGAAACAGGTAAATGATGAAGTTATCGGAAATTCAACGTTAACACAGAAATTCATAATCTTAATCCCTCAAACTGCACCTGCTCTAATGTTTCCTTTCACAGTGAATGGCACCATCATCCTCCCACGTGTGCGCATCAGACACACAGACGTCATTTTTTTTGTTTTAAAAAATATATTTTATTGATTTTTTACAGAGAGGAAGGGAGAGGAATAGAGAGTCAGAAACATCGGATCAGCTGCCTCCTGCACACTCCACACTGGGTATGTGCCCGCAACCAAGGTACATGCCCATGACTGGAATCGAAGAACCGGGCCTTGAGTCTGCAGGCTGACGCTCTATCCACTGAGCCAAACCGGTTAGGGCTAGATGTCATTCTTGATACTTGTCTACTTCACCACTTCTATATATTTTTCACTGGTTTGTCTACATTTATTTATTTATTTTTAATGTATTTATTGATTGATTGATTTCAGAGAGGAAGGGAGAGGGAGATAGATAGAAACATCAATGATGAGAGAGAATCATTGATTGTCTGCCTCCTGCATGTTCCACACTGGGGATCGAGCCTGCAACCCAGGCATATATGCCTTGACTTGGAATCAAACTGTGACCTCCTGGCTCATAGGTTGACGCTCAACCACTGAGCTACGTCTTCCGGGCTGTCTGCACTTACTTTTGCCCCATCCTTTCTGTGCACAGAAAAATCTTTTAAAATGCAAATTAGGTTATGTCACTTTGCGGCTTAAAATCCTTCAGTGGTTTTTCTTTGTTCTTTATCTTAAGGGTCTTGCGTGATCTAGCCCTTGGCTATCTCCCTAACCTTATTCTCATGGCTCTCTTTCCTTTGCACACCGTGCTTTAACTAACTGACCTTTGTTCACTTTCTCAAATACCCTATTTTTTTCTCTCACTACGTACCTTTGCCAAAAATGCTTATCCTCTGTACCCCTTCATACCTTACCTCACCGGTTGGCTACTACTTCTGCTCCAAATCTTAGCTCAAATGCCACTTTCTCAAAGAAGCAAGGGCTCCAAACTCCCAGGTAACTCCAGTCTCGTTATATATTTTCAAAATACCTTACACTTTTCCTTCACAGTACTTACCACAGTTTGTTATTTAATTAATGTAAGTCTCTTGTACTAGCCTTAAGCCCCCCAAAAGGCAGAGACCATAATGTTTTTTTATATTTTATACCACAATATCTGGCACAGAGTAAATACTTGCTAACTGCTCCAATTCATTCATTCATTCACTTAACAGTCACTGAGGAAGAATCCACAATTAGGGCAAATCACAGTTCCAGTGGTCAAAATTCCTTACCTATCAAGCTCAGTTTAGGAACCAGGTACATGTCATTTTCATTGATGACAAGAGTGGGGGCAGGCTGCGGTGGCCCAGGCTCTGAATTCTCAGTGGGAGACACCAACGGGCAACGCTGCACAAAGTGCGTGTCTGCTAGTCGCACAAATGTGCTCGACACCTCAGCATAGTCCATGGTCTTGCCATCTGTGCCACAGGAGAAGAGAGGCAGGTGAGACGGCTGAGATAGCTGAGGGTCTGCTCCTGCAGGCAGCCAATCTGTGCTTTTGCTAACAGCTGTTGCTACAGTACTGACCTTCCATGGTTTCTGTCAGCCGGTCTGCCACTCTCTTCACGAGAGCGGACATTGTCATCTTGCCGTTCAACAGCAGCTCCTCCACAATCAGCTCGCCAGTGTCACTGTACAGTGTCTTGGCGGTATAGATGTAACGGGGGTACCTGAGCATGCGCAGCACCCTGCTGCACTGGGCTTCATACTCCACCGTGCCACGTTTGTGCACTTGGTATGTCACCAGGTTATGCTGGATGAGGACACACAGGGCCTTTTTCACCTGGATAAGACCCAAAAGAAAGAGGAAAGATCCGAAGACACAGCTCTTTATTGCTCGCAACTTTTGCCCAACAGTTTACTAAGCCATCAGGAGATGGCTGGGTAAGAATCTCTGTGCTGCCTTCCTCCTCCCACTGGAACAGCTAATAAGAGTCACACATAAATGGAAGAAATCAGGAAGATTCCTTGCTAGGACGCTCCTATTTTTCTCTGATCTTTATTTTTCAAAGTACAATTTACTTCCCTTCTGTTATTCTCATCCCTTAAGGGCAGTACTGAGATTCACAGACTCATTGTGAATAAAGGAAGGATGGCAAAGGGAGAGCAAAGATTTGCCTAAGAAGCAACAGGAGCCAGGAACACTTTGAGAAGCAGACCTCAGGGCCTCTGTCTCATTCTCTTTCCCCACAAAGAACACCGTGCTGATCCGAGCAGGCTCTCTCTCTGTCCATTAAGTGGGGGTGGGGAGTAACAATATTCAAAGGTAAGTAGAAGAAATTAATGAAAATAAAAGCAAATTGGTATCCTCCAAACATACCTGATCCGGCGATGTTCTTGTGTCATGGGCAATCACTCTTAGTGGCTGGCTGCCTGTTCTGATTAGGTGGACTCCAATTTTTTCCACGATCTCTCCAAAATGCTCTTGCAGCAACAAAGAACACAGTTTAATTTCTGCTTGAGTCATTGTACTAAGGAGTTTCAGAGCTAGAATAGAGAATAAAAAAACACTGCATGCGGGAGAGGTTTTCTTTTATGTTGGGTGTAGACTGCTGAGTATAAATTTAAGTAATTTGTGGAGGGTGATTTGACATTATATATCAAAAGCCTTAAAATCTTGCCTATCTTCCACCCAATAATTTCATTTTGGATACTCTCTTCCAAGGAAATAATAAAAAGATGTTACTGTAGTTCTCTTTAGAATACTAACATACTGGAAACAATGTAATGTCTAACAGTGAGGAGTTACTTCAATAAATTATGGTAAACCCATACAATGGAATGTTACTCCAACACTTCTGTATATGTATTACGATAGAAAATTGTTCACTAAGTAAAAGGAGCAGGCTACAAAGCAAAATGTGGAGGGAGATTTAATCAAGAAAAAAATGTGTGAATAGAAAGAAAAAACTGGACTATACATCACATTGAACTTTTTAAAAAATGTTTAAAATTTTTTTTATTGATTTTAGAGAGGAAGGTAGAGGGAGAGAGAGAAACATTTATCTTTATGGGATTGTGTGTGATTCTAATTTTCTTTAAAGATTGGATGTAGATGGTTTTACAGTGTCACAGGCCTTCGATTCTACACTTGATTGTTTGGAAGAATTAAGGCCACTTCACAGCCTATTGGGAGTGAACAGGCAGTATCATTCCCAGTCCACACAGGAAATGACAATTTAGAAAAAGAAATTAAGAGGTAAATGAAAGCTTTGCAACAGTGTGTTTCCAATGGGAGATGATGTACGTTGTTTGCAGGGCAGTATTTAACTCGGAAATTACTATTCTTGACAAGTAGACACAATATATAGTTGACTATATAACTGCTTCCTTTTTAGAAAAATCACAAGTGCTACCAAACATTGCTTCATTCCTCAGAAGCCAAGTCTTTGCCTCTCAGCTTCAGTACCCGCGTCCACACGTCTCTAGGGAAACATCCCCAGACCCTCTGCCATCCCCGGAAAGGGCTTCCAAGGAGCTTGGTCCTGGCTCTTCATTCCTGCACGCAGGGTCCCAGTTCGGGACCGGGTTCCTTGGTCCGGTTCAGACAGCGTTTTCACTAACCTCTGCGTCACCGCAATCTAACGCCCAGTTTCCCTCGGCTCCGTGCGGCTCCCGCTGCCGCCCAGGCAGAGGCACAGCCCTCGGCCCTGCCTGGCCAGACGCACAACCAGGAGGACCCGGAAATGGGGACAACGTTGGCCACTCTACCCCAGAGTCTCGGTGGTTCCGGGGACGCTCTTTCTTTCGTCTCGTTAGGAGTTTGGAGGACCGGCGAGGGGCCGCGGGGGAGGTGCCGGCGGACTTTCCTTCCGGCGCCTGTGACGCTGGGGGCGGGGCCTGGGT